AAAGAGCAGGGTAGCAAGGGGAGGGGGAGACGAAAGGCGCGGAGCGCTGGACCGAAGTGGCCTCCCCCTCCCCGAGGTCGGCGGTCTCTTAGCCGCTGGGGAGCGGGGCTGCAGCTTCTGCAGCTGGATTTCCCACTCTGACAGGCGCCATTTTACCGCCCAGAGGTCTCCCTCCTCCTCTCTTTCCCCCCTCCTCTTCCCCTCTGACACTACTTCCGGTGGTGACGTGTATTCGCTTCACCGGGACTAAAGTTCCCCCTACTCGGTCTTACGGGGGTAGGGATAGGGAAAGCCGAGCGCGCCCCCAACAACACTTCGATATTGCGCAAGCGCCGAAGGCGACCGCGGGGCGGGGAGTGGAGCAAAGTCAACAGCGTGGGCGGGGCGGAGTGACGTCACTTGCCCTGTGGCTCTGACCGTCGAGGGAGGGATGTGCGACCCCCTCCCCTTCCCTCAGACAACTGTCCCAACGGCTGTTCCCGCCCCAGTCATTGTGAAAATGTAGGCTGTGGGTATCGTCCCTACGTCTGTGCACTAAGGCTCGGGAGGGGCCATTTCGCTTAAGCTCTCCTGGGAATACTGAACATAAAATCACCTCTCATTCCGGCCTTTGCCAGCTCTTAATTGTGGGAGGAATGAGTGCCCCGCCCTCTCACCCGGAGCGGGCGGGGCTGTGGGTCGTGACGCCATCAGAGAGCGTCGAAGTAGGAGTTTGAAGGCAGTCAGAGATGCTGGATTCTCTGTTGGCCCTGGGCGGCCTGGTGCTGCTTCGCGGTAGGAAACTTAAGGCACCGGAGGTTCCGGGTCAGATTTATGGGGTGGAAATGGGAAGGAAGGGCCATAGGTCATAGGCTAGGAGTGGAAGTCGCGGTTGTTTTATGAAGGTGGAAACCTCAAGGTTCTCAGTGTTTATTCTGCCCTCGCTTTCCTTAGATTCCGTGGAGTGGGAGGGGCGGGGTCTTCTGAAAGCGCTCATCAAGAAATCTGCACTGCGGTGAGTAAAGGGCAGCGTGTCTCAGTCCTTGCTTAAGAAGGGAGCCAGTGCCCCACTCTTCGACATTTCCCCCTCATCTCTGCCTTAGTGGGGAGCAAGTCCACGTCTTGGGCTGTGAAGTGAGTGAGGAAGAGTTTCGAGAAGGTTTTGACTCCTGTGTCAACAGCCGGTAAGTACAAATTGGGAGAAATTTCATTAGATGTGGGGCCCCTGTTGTTAAGAGAGTTTCTTAACAGCAACAAACATAAAAACCCGGTCTGGGTCGCAACTCGGGAGGACCCAGAATTTGAGGCCAGCCTCAGGCAACTTACCGATACCCTTTCTCAAAAAGGGTTTGTGAATGTAGTTCAGTGGTAGAGCGCCAATGGGTTCAATCCCCAGTACTCCCCAACACACACACACACACACACACAAAACACAAAGGTAGGCCATATTGTTGAGTAGTAGAGACCAAACTGGAGGATAAGAATAAACACTCTCTGCCTTTTGAGTCATTCAGAATCTGGTCGTGCTTAATTCAACCATGCATTCCAGATTTCGCTCAACACTGACGGCAAATTTCTGAGGGTTTAGTCCTAGGGGCAGAGGGTTCATTGCATGTGCAAAACTAGGAAGGTATGATAAGACATATCATGAAAGGTGGAAGAGCTTCCCAAAATAGCTGAGGTCATGCAGATAAAGAGGTAACTTGATTGTAAAAGGTATAAATTTTCAAACCCCTCCTCAAAGTCAGTGGGGAGTGGTTTGAAAATTTTGCAGGAGAGTTGATAACACCATGCCTGTTAGAAATTTTAGTCCATGTGCTTGCCTCACATGCTAGGCAAACACTCTACCACTGAGCTACACAGCCCCAGCCCTATAATCTTTTTTTAAGTTATTGAGAATCGAATCCAGTGCCTTACCCATGCTAGGCAAGTGCTCTACCTCTGAGCTACAACCCCAGTCACTGTGTGGAGAACGGATTGGAAGGAGGCAGCCTAGAGACAGAGAGACCAGATAGGAAGGCTATTGCAGTAATCCAGGTTCAGTGTATACATACTGTGTACCAGTTATAAACCATGTGTTCTGCTATATAGTGGAGATAGAACAGTGAACAATATTGTTTAGAATTTTTTAATATTTTTTAATTGTAGTTGGACACAATACCTTTATTTTATTTATTTTTATGTGGTGCTGAGAATCGAACCCAGGCCCTTGCACATGTTAAGCAAGTGCTCTACCACTGAGCCACAACCCCAGCCCTTGTTTTAATGAATTTTAAAGAGAATAATGCTGTGAGGTGACCAAGGTCTAACTCAAGACAGAGGCAGTACCATTGGAGAGTTTAGAACAAATGTAAAAGTAGCTCAGTAGGTAGAATTCCCAGTTAGGTGATTTTGTACAAGTAGCAAAGCCAAGCTTGGAGCTTAGGCTATTGGACACCAAAGTCTGTGCTCTCAATCTTAGGTTGCATGTCTAAGAGCGTAAGCTCCAATATTTAAGGTATTAGCGAAAATTTTAAAATAGAGCCACAAAGATAGGATAAATTTGAGGTGGCAGGGGAAAGGGGTAATATTATGTCTCCTATTTTCCCTTTTCAGGCTGATTTACTATGACCTCTTCAGAGACCCTCTCAGTTGGTCAAAAACTGGGGAGGCTTTTCCTGAGGGACCCCTGGGAGTCTTGAGAGCCATATGTAGGAGGGCAGATCCTGGTCCTGCCACCATAGCTCTTGATTCACTCAGCTGGCTTTTGCTTCATCTTCCCTGTACTGCAGTCTGCCAGACCCTCCATGCTCTGAGCCATCAGAACTCCTACCCTGGTGAGAACCCTCCTTACCCTTACATATCTCCACCTGGCAGGCAGTATTTCCCTTTTTCAACCTAATAATCAGCATCAAGACTCAGGAATTTGGGAGGCAGAGGCAGAAGGATCACAATTTGAGTAAGATCCTGTCTCAAAAAAGGGTTGGGAATGTAGGTTGGTGGTATAATGCCCTCCTGGGTTCAAGCCGCAGTTCCACCAGGAAAAAAAATCCAGCATCAGCATCAGTTGTCTCCAAATACTTTCTTACATCTTCAATCTTCAACCTTTTGGGGGGAATTTGTTGTTATTGTTTTTAGTTTTTTGTACCAGGGATTGAACCCAGGGATGCTTAACCATTCATAGTCCTTTTTTATTTTTATTGTGGGACAGAGAAGATGCTAAGGCTAGTCTTGAGCTTGCGATCCTCTTTCCTCAGCCTTCAGAGTTGCTGGAATTGCGGGTGTACCCCATCCCACCCAGAATTAAAAAATTATAATCTCTTTTATATGTATGGCTTTATTTTTTTTAATATGGTGTGCAGGATTGAACTCAGTGCCTTACATGTGCTAGGCAAGTGCACTGTCCCTGAGCCACAACCCAGCCCCTCTGTAACCTTTTTTTTTTCCCAAAATTGCCTTATTTTATTTGTTTATTTTTATGTGGTGCTAAGGATTGAACCCAGTGCCTCACATGCTAGGTAAGCACTCTACCACTGAGCTACACAGCCCCAGCCCTATCTTTTTTTAAGTTATTGATAGACATTTTATTTATTTGTTTGTTTGTTTGTTTATATGCAGTGCTGAGAATCGAACCCAGTGCCTTACCCATGCTAGGCAAGTGCTCTACCTCTGAGCTACAACTCCAGTCATTTTTTTTTTAGCATTTATTTTTATTCATTCACTTAACAAACATTAAATACATAAAACATATAAGGTTCAATAATGGAAAAATAAAGTCTAACTTTGTAGTTGGGTCTTTGCTCCCTGGGAGCTCAAATTCTTATGCAGATAAGTATACAAGGTAGTCTGATAAAGACTATAATGATTTAGGAATATATGTACAGGGTACCTTAAAGAAGGAACCATCCTGAAGAGCAAGGCTTAGACAGACAGATTTGGCCCAAGAGTCAGGAATATTGGAACTAGCCCTAAAGTACACTGTGGATATTAGAATGGAATTTCGAGTTAGACACACCTAACTTTGTATTAAAGTGCTTGATCTCTCAGCGCTTCAGTTTTCTCTTTAAAAAAAAAAAAGGTGGGGGATACGATGGCGTTAGGAAAAAAACTACTTGAAATTGCCATATGGCTTGATCTAAAATTGCTGACCTCTGTAAAAACTAAAATGTTGTGTTAATGTTTAGTGCAGAGCCCAACACTCTTAATCCTCCCAAAAAGGGAAAGAAAGGAGGCTCTAAGATCTTGGGAAATTACAAAAAACTGCAAGCAGTACATTGTGTAAGAGATGAAACTGAAAAGTTTGTGGCTATTAGAAGCCAAAAATGTTTTTTCCATCTTGAAGACCATGAGGAGCGGCCAAAGTCAGTGGTCCCTTGATCAGATTTGCACTGGAGTAAGAAAATGTATTAAGAAGCTGGGTACACTGGTGCATGCTTATAATCCCTGTGGCTCCCCTGCCATCCCAGTGTGTGGGAAACTGAGACAGGAGGATCTCAAGTTTAAGGCCAGCCTGAGCAACTTAGACCTTGTCTCAAAATAAAAAAGGGCCAGGGGTATAACTGAGCGGTAGAGTGTAGGGGCTCGTAGCTAAGCAGTGAGATTGGCTAGGGTAAGTCAGGACTGTGGCAGAACTCTGATGGAATGTGGGCCTCTCCTTCCTTTTCTTCAATATTTGCTACCTCACCTCAACCCTAAATGTTCACTATTCTCCTTCATGCCCTGCATTTCCTTTTCTCTCCAGGTGATAGTTCCCCAGTAAAGCAGGTGCATGTATTGGGCCTGCTACATGAAGAACTTCATGGCCCAGGCCTTGTGGGAGTACTGAGCAGTCTTACCCAGACTGAGGTGATTCTGGGTGGTTTAATGGGCCAAGCCTCAGCCCATGTCCTCTTTCGGAAGCCCCAACAGCGCCCAACTTATCAGGTTAGGAGAAGCAACAAGAACAACTAGAAATTAAAGTCAGAAAAAGGGTTGGCATGATGGGAAGAATAATTTAAAAAAAATTTTTTTTTAATACTTTCCTGTTTTATTTTGTTGGTTGTGTGTGTTAGAGAGACAGACAGGTCAAACCCAGCACTTTGGTAGGCAAGCACTGTACTACTAAGTTACATCCCTAGCCCTAGAAAGATTTTTAAAAGACTAGAATGGTTATTAGTGGGAAGGAAGAACAAGTCTGTAGGGAGAGACTTAGAGGAAAGCTAGGGCTGAAAACAATGTGTTCGGGTGATTGGGGGCTGAGGTGAGAGGTCCTGAATTCTCTAGTTTGTTCAGTGGGATGAAAAAACAAAAACTTTTTAACTTTCTTCTTTATTCTCCTTAGACTTCCTGGTTTTCCATCCTTCCTGACTTTAGCCTCGACCTCCAGGAGGGGCCTCCCCTAGAGTCCCAGCACCACCCAGATCCTCATACATCTCTGGTACCTAAAAGCTTGGGATCTGGCAAAAGTAGAATAAAACTGCAGAGGTTGGGAGTGGAGTCAAGGATTCAGGAATGAGGCCAAGTGGCAGCATCTTTTTACCTGCAGGTGGACCCCACGACTCATTTGACCTTTAACCTTCACCTGTCCAAGGAAGAAAGAGAAGCCAAGGATAGCCTGATTCTGCCCTTCCAGTTCAGTTCTGAAAAGTAAGGCTGGAGCCTAAGTGCTTGGATCCCCAGCATCTGAGGTGGGGTGAAGACAGGTTATTGATTAACCTCTCAGACTTTATAGGAGCTAAAGTCCACTTCCAGATACAAGCCTGGGGAGTGGTTCTGTACCCACCCATATCTCCCATAATGGCGGAGGGTCTTCCTGTCTTATCTCCATTACAGCTATGGATGGGTTCTACCTTCATAATTGTCCCCAGAGTAATCTTGCTCTGGGCTGAGCCAGAGCAAACCCTAAGAGGTAACTTTATTCTCCTGCCAGCAGTGCTAGGACATAGGACAGGAAGATGCATGGGTGTGGCAAAGGCTGGTTAACGAGGGCTTGGTAGGTGCCTCTTGTCTGAGCCCAGTGTGTGGGTGGATGAAGCAAGACTGCAGCAGAATCCTTCCCCTCAAGCTGCTAAGAACAGAGTTTTATTAAATAAGAGTAGTACTTATGCCAGGGTCAACTGGTTCTTTCTTAGCCCTAAATAATCTTAGAGGTCAGAGGAGGAACTTGGACCAAGAAAATGACACAAGCCTAGTTTGGGTTGCCTAAGTGAGTCACAGGCACCTCTAAGGGGGTATCCAGACTTGATCTAATAACCACCTCACTAGCACCAATTCTCCCTCAGACAGCAGGTTCTACTGCGTCCTGCGCCAGGCCAGGCTACCAGCCACATCTTCTATGAGCCAGATGCTTATGATGACCTAGACCAAGAAGACCCAGATGATGACCTTGATATTTGACTGGCCAGACTTGACTACACTAATGGAAATGGGTGGGAGTGGGAGGACTGTGGTCCCAGTTTCTGTACTGCCTTTGTTCCTTTGTCTATAGAGGTCCTACCCTATGAGGTAGGAAGCAGTATCCAATCAGAACAAAAAGTGGGATGAAGAGATAGCATAAGGTGAGGAAATAGGAACAACCCCCATACCTAATAAAATCTTTTATTAATTTTTTTTGTTGTTGATAAAAAGGAAATGAGTGGTGGGCAGTGAGGAAAGCCAAACTCTTGAGTCTTTGGAGTCCAGTCTAAGCATTGAGTCTGAGTCACGATGAAAATTAAATGAGCAAGAGTGGCCTGGCACACAACTGGTACTCTACAAGGGTTTGAATTGAAGTAAATGTACTTTAGGTACCAAGCTCCCTCCAAGGTTCTAAGTGGGAAGAATCGGGCACAGAAAGAAAAGAAAGCCTAAAACTCCAAAACGTATTTTTTATTACTGTACAAAAAGCACATTCTCCCCACTTTTTGTCTCCTACCCAACCCCCCCCCCCAGAGGACTGTACATGGTGTACAAGGATGGAGTGACCAGGAGGCCTTTGTCCTGCACTCTGCCCACATGCTGAATCCTCTGCCCTGGGTCCTTTGAGTCACTTGGGCACGCCCACAGTTTGTCAGGCTGGGGCATGGGAGTCCCACCTCACACATATTCCTTGGCAGAGTTGGACTTAGGGTAGGAGCGTGGTGCACGGTACACAGCTTTGCTCTCCTGTCCAGGACAGGAGCAAGAGAGCAGTGCACCTCCTAGGAGGACCAGAGCAGACCCTGCCCAGCCAATAAAGATGGCAGAACCAAACTCATACCTGTGGAAAGAAAGGATTGAGATCAGAAACCTGGCCTGCCTCTGCCTTCCTATCCCAAGAACCCAGATTTGCTTCTTAGACTGGGATCCCAGACTTACTTAAAATTCACAGGGACGGTGGGGTTATAAAAGTCTGTGACAATCTGATGACCATACCAGGAGCATGCTACCAAGGCTGCAAGACCTGGAGAGAGAATAAGAATTCCAATATTGTGAGGGTTCAAATCAGCACCTTCTCCAACCACCTCCCACAAGGGCCAGAGGAGAGCTGCCTTTGGACCTATGACTCACCTGCTACGATGAAAATGATGCCTCCAGTCATAGCTATACGGGCCTTTTTTACTTTATCGTCTCCCCCACAGCGTGTGCACTTCATACCCATCGTGGCCACAAACATAGCGAGGAAGCCCAGCACCAAGGATAACACCATTAGGGCTCGAGTGGCCTGCATGGCCGCTGCAGAGGAGAAAAGACGCCGTCATTGCTGGAAATGGCTGGCAGTCTTGGCGGGGCGGGCCGCGCCCACTATTCCTTGAACCCGCGTCTAGCGGTCGCTAGATTCTGACGCCCTCAGATGTCTAAGGCCCTACCTCCAGCGGGCAGGCTCCCACACCCTCGGGACAACGTAGCCTTCCAGCTCGCGCCCCGCCCTTTCTGCTGAGAAACCCGCCCGGGGCGCCAGGGTTTCGATGAAACTGCTCCGTGTAGGGGGAAGGGTAAAAGGGGGCAGCCAGAACCTGGGCATAAGCTGAACATCCTGACGCGCGTCCCAGCCCTGGTCCCGCCTTCCGGGCCACGGGCCTGCGGCTTCGTCTAATCGTCGGATAAGATTAGAGGCCGCAGGTGGCCGCCCACGTCTGACAAACTGCCCAGCTGCGCAGTCCTCCTTACAGCCTCAGCCCCGACCCCCTTTTGTCCAAACTAAAAGGGCGGGATAACACGGAGGCCTTGGCTGGCCCAGGGCGCTGGGGAGATGACGACCAGGCTTAGGACTCACTTGCCCAAGCCCAGGTGGAGGCTTGGCTGGGGGCATTCAAGGAAGAGCACAGGCTGCAGGGGTATCAGCCCATGTGCGTCCACCAGAACCCCGGCTCGCCCCAGCCCAGCCCCATTGCCCCAGCGAGACCACTTCGACTTCCTCCTGTCCCTGGCAATCAAGGTGCCTGGCCGGGGGACCTCGGCCCTGCCCACACCCCGCCCCACCATCTCGGCCATGCGCGCGTCCGCCCCGTCGGTCCCGCGGCCTTACCCGGCAGAGCAAGCACCGAGTCGTACATTTTGCAGCTCATCATGCCGGTGCTTTGCGTAACGCAGTCCATCCACAGCCCCTTGTACATGGCCTGGGCCGTGATAATGTTGTCGCCTGCGTACGAACTCATCTGCCATTGCGGGATGGCGGTGCTTGCCACCAGGCCCACCCAACCCAGCATTGCCATGGAAAAGCCCAACAACTGCAGGCCTGAATTGGCCATTTCCGCCCTCAAAAAATACGGGACGTCGGACTGGCGACCCTACGCGACAAACCGAATCCGGGGGTCAACCCAACAAGACAACTTGGGGTGGTGTTTTAAGTCACCCAAAGAAGCAAAAATGTTTTTGACCGGGTGACTTCAAATCTTCTTGTCACCCGAAGTAAACACAAATCGACCCCTCGGGTGGAGTGACGGTCTCAGCAGAGGGAACAGGCTATGCCCGAAGATCTGGTTTCAGACAAAAGCAGTCCCCGAAGGTCAGGCGGTTCTCTCCGGCGCTCTCAACGAACCCTACCAAACAAAAGGTAGAGGGGCCGTTTGGGTGCGGTTCCCAGAAAGTATTAGGCCTTTCGGTCCAGGGATTCGCTGCGCAGGAAAGGTTGTCGGGCAGTGAGCGGGCAGGTGCGGGCGGACAGGTGCGCGGCGCACCTGAGTATATGTAGGGCGTCGGGGACGCGCCCCCGCGGACCGGGAACGCGAGAGGGGGGGCGGGACCGGAGGGGCAGCCGAGGGTGACCTGACGTCACTGAAGGGACACTCACCTGAACCGGAAGTCCTGGCCCCCACCCCTCCTTTCCCAGGTGAAGAGGAAGAAACCTGAGCACCAGGGTCACGCCCCTCCACTTGCCGGGCTTTAACCACAGGTGGAGACGAGGCAACGTCTTCTCAGGAGTCTGAAACTCCCAGTCAGCCCCTCCAGACTGGATTTCCCACTCGCACCAAGGTGCCCCTTCCTTCCCTTCTTCTCAACAGGTGCGCTTGGGACGCTCCGGAGCCAGAGCTGGGGAGACGCCCCTGGAAAGGTTCGGCGCCACCTTTTCCCTGCAGGTTTATGCCCCAAGTGTTCTTCGTCCAGCCCGCCTTTCGACTCCACCCTTCGATCTTCTCTTTCTTTTGTCTCCACCTTCAATGGGCCCTGACCCAATCCCGGAAAATCACCCATTGCTGCAGACTTCTTGAAGTTTCCACTCCCAGTGACATCTCCCCAGGACCCCTCCCCTTTACTGCCGGCACCCTCTAGCTAGGCCCTCCTACAGTCAGCGAGCTTCTGGGCACGGCTCTCCAGTAACCCCACTTCCTGGTCCTCTGTTCCAGTTCTTGACATACTTAATGCCTGAGCCTGTCAATATCCCCTCTAACATCAAGGCTCCTGGCAGAAGGCAGAAACCACTGAGGTGAGCCTGCAGAGGGTGGGGAGAAGGGTAAGCCTAGGTCAGAATCTCGGCTACACCCATCATTCCCTTCCCTTGGAGTCTTTTCAAATTTACCCTCCACTTTCCTCACCCCCCTCCGACGGCTAGCACATTTCTCTCCCTTGTTCTTATCCTGGGCGGAACTGTTTGTGGCACTCTCCCATCCCCTCACCATTCTGTCCTCCCCAACATCTGGCTCTCCAAAGTGGCCTTTGATTCCACCCTCATTCTTCCACCTCACCCTCACATTCTTTCTCACTCTCTCCAAGCTTCTGCCCCATCCTTCCTCCCAACATCTCTTCCAATCATCTGCTCATTCCTCTCTTTGATCATCTCCCCCTTCTTGCCTTTTCCATTTTGTAGTTTCCTGTTTCACTCCCTCCCTGTTAGTTTACCATTGTACCCAATCTCCAATCCTTTGGAGCCCAGCCTTTTTCATCTCCTTTGTGCACATTACTGCTTCTCCACCCCTTTTTCTTGCTGTTGTCTCCCAGTCTACCTCTCTTCCAACCTCCTTACACCTTTCATACCCCTTTCTTAATCTGGCTCTCTCGTTACATTTTCCTCTCTTCATTTTTTCATCTGTTTCCTCATATCTTCCATCTATATTCTTCTCAAACATTTGTCTGTAAATCTTTCCTTCATTCATTCAGTGAAAATATTAAAGAACACTCTTGTTAAGTTCAATAACCTGCTTTTGTATAAAATGCAGAACTTCATGAACTCTTTGTCATTCATATTTATTGTATTTTTTGATTCGTGGTGAGATTCTTTTTAACAGGTTCCTTCCAGCTCTAAAAGTCCATGTTCCCCTTTGCTTGAGTGTATCTAACACCTCTCCAAGCTCACTGCCACTACTACAGGGTAATCTGGACACTGTAACTACCTCACACCCAATCTCCCCATCTTCACTCTTGTCCTTCTAAAATCTGTTCCCCAGAGTGATCTTTGTTTACGGAATTAGATGTGTTGTTTTCATTTTAAAATATTTTACTGGCACTCCTGTGCTCATAGAAGTAAATGCCATACCATGGCTTACCTGGCTCTGTGCCTCAGCCAACACTGGACTTCTCTCTGTTGGTGAAATGTACTATATAAATTCTGGCTCAGTAAAGCACCTTTGAACACTCTGTTCTCTATGCCTGAATACTCTTCTCCATCTACCCCCACCCTCTTTCCTCTACCCAGCTAACTGATTCATTCTTCAGCTATCAGCTCAAATATCACTTCTAGGAAGACTGGCCTGATTGCCCCACCCTAGACTGCTCAATGTTCTCATGGCTACCTGCACTTTTTTTTCAAAGCCCTTATCATAGTCTGAAACTGTTTTGTGTGCTTATTGATTCAATATGGGGTCTCCCTATTGTATGGTAAATTCCATGAGGTTACAGATGTGTCTGGATTTTATCACCAATGAATATTTGATGAATGAATGAATAAATTTCAAATAAATAATATTTCACCCACTGTTCAATAACTACTTTCTGAATGTCTGTCATGTGTGTCAGGCACTATATTTGACCATAGGGATACAGCAATGAACAAAAGAGATAAGGACACTATATTCATGTAACTCATTCTCTAGAAGGAAACAAGTAATAAAGACATAAAATGGTAAATGTTTTGAAGGCAATGAAACAGGGTAATGTCATGAGGCTGGGTCCAGTCTCAAGGGAGGTCAGAAAAACTTTCTGGGGCTGGGGATGT